ACCGGGCGCCGCCGGGAGCCGCATCCAGCCCACGGCGCGGGAAGCCCCGGGGAGCGCTCGGAGCAGGTGTCGTTTTTATGTTAAAATGCATTTTCTGTAGCTAACGTGCAGGCGTGCCAGGGCTCTGTGCTGCAGCAGGGTGTGTGTCAGAAACGTGGTATTTTGCTGGTGAAGTGCATCTCGGCTGTGCTTTTGGGCAGACACGAGTAGCTTTCCCCATTTCTTGCTGCTTGTGCAATAGGAAGGGTTGCAGGAAAACGTTCTGCTCCTCTCCTAAATGAGCTTATTCCTTGAAAATGAGTAGATCGGCAGCTGCAGAGAGGCCACAGCCTTTTGTTGAGCAACAACCAGACGGCTTTTGTGGTTTTAGTCAGCTCTGCAAACCAGATGCAGAGTCCTCAAGCTGTTGAAGTTCCAGGACAGTCAAATTCCTTTACTTGAATTGTCGTGTGGCTGTACACCCTTGCAAGTCATCTGGATTTTCTGGCTTACCTGATGTCCTCACCTCCCTGTTTTGAATGCAGATCCACTGGGAAGCTATTTAAAAAAACAAACAAACAAAAAAAAAAAAACCAAGAAAAAAACTCCCACAACAAACTCCATCCCAATTCCAGCTGTGCAACAGCTGCTGCAAAAGCAATTAAAAGGAATGGAAACAAAAAAAAAAAAATATTAATAAAAGCAAAGGGGAAAACAGAAACAAGAAATAAAAATCCCGTGGTCCTCAGATGCGGGACTCGCCACTGCAGAGCAAGGAGTGCTTGCGGACTCGGGCGCTGAGCAAGCTGGGGGGAAGGTGGTGAATTGTACCCTCCGGAGAAGCTCGGGCAGGGACGAGGCTGCTTTGCCACCGACGGGGAGCTGACGTTCGCCCCGTCTCGGGGCACGCAGCTCTCCTGCTGAGGCTCTCCCCGGGACACGCAAGCCCGGTAGAAACGCGCCGTCGTAGCGCACACAACGCGCGTCTCGCATGAAACACCGCGGCACGTAGGGTTGCTGCCTGCGGGTTCTAGGCCAGCTGGCTGTAGGCCAGCTAAATGAATTCAGAAATTTTAGGATTCTCTAATTTGCTTTAGAATTTAGGGAGTAGGTTGCTCCCCGCTTGGGTCGTCGCTCCAGAAGCGCTGAGAGCGTTTGCACCGCCGG